GAAGAAAAATTAAGAGAGTGAGAGCAAAAGAGATGAGATAACAGAAAAATAAGAGAATGTGAATGATAATAGGTGAATTTAACTATAATTAAGCCCTAAAGAACCACCTTCTTGTATAGTTTTGATGATAAAAGTGATAACAAAATGCTCTGATTAGTGCTTTTAATGCTTTGAGGTGATATATGACAAGAGAAGGCTATGGAGCACTTTTGGGATCAAATATGGAGAAAAAAGAGGCCAATCGTAAAATTTTGCCAAGTGAACCAAGCGAAGCAGCTCAAGCCAGGCCTGAAGAAGGACTGCCGCGGTTCCACCGCGACGGCGGCAGAACCGCGGTAGAAGACTGTCGCGGATAAGTTGAGATTCAGAGAAGGTGTGTGGCCGCGGTTTGACCGCGACCGCGGCAGAACCGCGGCAGAGGCGGAAAAGTTCAGGGACTTAAGTGCAAAACACGGGATTTTTAGCCCAAAAACCCTATTTTAAATACTAGACTTCGCCCAAAGGAGGCAAGAATTGTATTGGAGAATATTTTAGCAAGCAAAACAATTGTGAGAGATCACCTAAAACATCATATCTTCTTCTTCTTCTTTAATTTTTCTTGCAATTATGATTATGAATATTGTTCTAGTTTATTTACCCATAGTCATGAACAGCTAAATCTTTTGTCTAGGGTTTTGATGGAACCTATTGAGGGATGAACTTCTTGTTTATGTGAATACAGTTTGGCAGTTTAATTTCTAATTGTTCAACTACGTGTTTGTTGTAGTTAATTGACAGGATCCTCAATTAGCTGTGCCTATTTAGTGTGCATATCTCGGGAGAGAGTGCATATTTAAGTGAATGTTGAACAACACCACTCCCAAAGTATAAGAGGGATCTATAACTGCGGGTTTAAAGGCAGGATTAGGAATAACAAAGCCTTGGGTGCAATCTTAAGTGAACTGTGATAAATAAAGCTAGCTAGTGTATCTCGGGAGAGTGCAATTAGTAAATTACTGTGAATACTCGGGAGAGATTTATGGTAAGAAGAGCGTTCATGATTGATAGAATGTGTTGGTGAATTTGTATGAAGCATAAACAGAAGGAATTCCATCAATAGGGAAAATCATTACCTTAGCGCTTTCTCATTATTGTTTACAGCCTAGCATCTTTAATTTGCAGCTATTAGTTACTGTTAATCTTAGTTATTAAAAACACCATCAACTGTGATTCTCAACGTTTGGAAAATTGATTCTAAAGAGTTTAGTAGGTCTAAAGATAGTGATTGATAGGTTAATTCTCTATGGATTCGACTCTGGGCACAATACTCAGGTTATATTTGCAACGTCCGCATTGTCCTTTTTATAAGGCATAGTTGGGCGTGATCAGTGAATGAGAGTATATGTTATTCTAACTCTAATCTTTCTAACTCTTCTTCCTTTAGTTGTGTGGATTCTTTTATAGGCAATTGTGAAGATGAGTCAATTGAGGATATAACACGGGAAGAACTTCATAACTTGGACAATGCAAAAGAAGTTGAAGTTTCTTCATCAAATAAGCAAGTGAGCTTAATTTTGGAAGGCCAAGGTAAAAAAGTTTCTATAGTTGCTTATCAAGGTAAAATGGCTAATCCCAACTCTCTAGTTACTTCAAATGACAATGTCACTGACTTGATTGTGAGCAACAGTCTAACTACTTGTGATATTGATGATTCTTTACTTTATGTTGACATGCAAAAGGAAAGTTGTGACCATACTCTAGTTGAATATGATTTTGGAGCTAAAATTGTCATTGATTATGAACTTGAAAATCTTCAAACTAGTATTATGGCATTGGTTGGAAATCATAATTTTGAAGGCGTTTCCTTGAATGTTTTCCATGAAAATAAATTTATTTCTTCTTTAGCAACAAGAAACACTTTTGAGAGTGAAAATTTGAGAGAGGATAAAAGTCTCTTTGCTAGTGAGTTTTATTGTTTGAATTCTTTATATTGTGAAGTTATGTATTGGTTGTATAGTCAAACAAGTGTGGACATGAGTTTTTGTGAAAGTAAATTGATGAGCTTTGTGGATCCATCTTTGGATAATTGTTCTAGTTTGCAAGTAAGTCAAGAAACTTGTGTGTTTGAGAGTGAACTTGAGTCTTTCAAGTTTGATGTGATGATTCTTGCTTATATTTACTTGGTGCAATTGACAAGGATGAATATACTTGTTTGAACAACCTAACTCCTTCTTTCTTTATTGTGAAAGATATCAATGGAGAAATTTCTTGTTCCTTTAAAGAGGAAAATTCTAATGAGGAGTTAACTTGTTCCTTTGAGAAGGAAAGTCCTAGTGTCATTCTCAAGAATGAAGAGGTTTTTGATAAAAAGGAGAGTGAGCTAATTGATGCTATCTTTAGTGCTAATATCTCTTCTTTAAGCTTTGAGGATAGTTTTGTCAAGCTTTGTACATGCTTCTAGGATGCAATGTTAAAATGACCAATTTGAAGCTCGGAATAAGTTCTTTGATTTTAAATACGATAAATCTTCTTGTGGTGACTTAACTAATGTCTGAAGTTCCTTTGTGAAGGATAATCAAATGGGCAACCATAAAAGAGATAGATGCCTGAAGCTACAATTTGGGCCAACGAAAGGTTTTGAAACTTTAATGCTTATCCAAGGCAACAATGTTATGTTTGATTGGTTAGTGCTTATTTTTGGGCTTTCTAAAGGTATGGAGGTAAGTGGCTATACCCTTGACTTTCATAGTAGCAACTTTGTATTTCTTGACTATGATTTGTGGAAGTTGCTATTATATTTATGCTGGGAGTTGCCAAGTGACCAATTTAGATATAATTTGGGAACAATATTTGTGTTTGATCCCGGTGATTCACTCTATGATTATGGCTTACGTTTGAACCAAGTGACTATTATAGTTGGGAGAAGTGTTCTATATTGATCTTAAGTATGCTTGATTATACTTCAAGAGTGTTCACTTTGAAACATGTGGTAAAGATCTTAGAATTAAATTGGTACATGTCTCTTATTGGGAAGTGTCTTTATTATGCACAATTATTTGTAAGCATGAAATGCTTGATATTTGTTTCTTGGGTGCTAAAAAGCCTTAATTGAAACTTGAGCTTGATTATTTTGACTCTTGATATGAAGTGACTTTAACGATAAGAGAGTTGGTAGATCTAAATATACTCTATACATGTGTATGGTTCTATGTTTGGCCTACATAATTCATTTTCCTTGTTTGTTAAGTTCATAAGAGTCGTACATTGTGCTTACTTGGGAGATTTTATAACTCCATGTGATGATGTTTTGTACATAATTTTTAGCGGTCTTTTTGCCTATTATGAAGAATTGGGTCAAAATAATGCATGGGCACTTTCTTGTTTTATCATTATCATGCATATATGTGCCTCTTGATGAGTTTATATTTGTCCTCGTTCCTTTTCATGTTTTGCAAGGTTCAAATTCGAGGATGAATTTTTTTTAAGAAGGGGAGGATAATACGACCCAAGATAGCCAACATGCTCTTTAGATGTCAATTGAAAGCTACTTTCGCAAATGGAGGCTATGTGTGTAATCTATCACAATTGAAGACTACATGTAATTGGTGGCTATACTTGTAATAAGTGACTACACTTAGTTCCTTAGAATTAGCTTAGGGGTATTTGTGTCATTTGTATTCAAAACCCACTCTAGTATAAATAACCCTAAAGACTTCCATTTTAAGGAGACTAGTTTTGATGAATGAAGAGTTTTCTTTTGATAGATGTAATTGTGGATTGCCATTGTTAATGACAACTTATTCAAGGTGTGTTCTTCAAGTGGAATCACACTTTCACTTGAAGGTATTCCTATAGTTTAGATTCACTTTGTTATGTAATTGTTGGATGGTTGATCTTTATCATTTGTTATTCAATTACTACATTGTTGGATCTATTCTCAAATTATATCCTTTAAATTTAATTTGAAAAATTACTAGCTATGTCCATTTATAAGTTGCTCATTACAAAAATTGGCCAATTGATAAAATATTATTAATATTAGCCAAATTAGCCAATTAGCTATTTGTAGCAAAAAAAAAAATCAAATTTTTGCTTTGTTTTGAGTGGGTATTATTAGAATAGATTGGGCACAACTTAAGGAGCTTGAATCTCAGTTTTGGAATAATTTGGTAAAGTTTTGAGGTGGTTTGAATTGAAAATTCGAAGTAAAAGCTGAACATGAAAAAAAATGATATGTGTATCACATTGTGTATCACATATGTATCATATTTGTATCAATGTGTATCACATGTATATCCATGTATACCTATGTGTGTGATACATGCGTGATACATGTTTGATACGTGTGTCGCAGAAGATTTTTTGAACTCGATTTAATTACGAATTTTGATACAAAACCAGTCCAAATCACCTCCAATCTTCCTCAAATTTTGTATATTGACTTATCTATATAATTTCAAAGAATTTCAACTATACCCATTGAAAAAATTCCTATTTTGTTTAGATTTTTGGAATATTGTATAGTTTTTTGTATTTCATCACCTTATTTGCTATCCCGTCCAATAAATTTCCTTTCCGTCTTGTATCTAATGTTGCTAATCACGCTTAAAAATATGGAAGGTGATTTTTGCATGTGATTCTTTGAGAGAAAGAACCCTATTATTTGATTTTTCAATTTTTGTTGGCTAGTTTTGGTAAGTCTATGACTAATGGCTAGAGGTTGGTAAGTTGAGATTTATTAGAGATATTTGTGTAAGTTCCCATTTAATTTCTTGTCTTCCGCTTTTAGATTCGTATCAGTTTGTCACTTAAAAATGAACAGCCCAAAATTATATATATGTGTAGGAGACTTTATAAAACCTTATCAAGATGGATGCTGTATAGAATTATAAAGTATGTGTTGCACTTACTTACTCCATCTTTGGCAACTTTGAGTGTTTTTAAGCATTGTAGTTCTGCTTATGGAATATCGAGGACATTATAATACAAATTATCTGAAGTCTATCCAAGGAGGACGGATGGTAAGAAAATGCAGATAGCACTAAATAACTACAATAATATATCCAATATAATTCCACAAGTGAAATCTGGGTAGCAGTAAATAACTACAAGGCATAAAATTTTATCTACATAGGGAAGTGCCAAATAGGCCTAACCAGAGTAGTCACTGTTCCTACAGTTACCATCTGATTATAGTGAACAAGTATTTCTGTGAGATGATCCACTCCCAATGCTCCCCATGTCTCCTCACCAAATCAACAAAAACCAAATTCTAGAGAACAGAAGAAAAGCAAAGAGAGTGAAGGGGTTGCAAGAAACAAAGAAACCATAAAATCCATGTAGATTCTGTATGAGAAGAGCAGGACATGGACGTGGATAGTGAGAAAAAGAGGGATTCAAAGCCATTCTTCATCCAATTCGCTACTGTTAGCAGCGTCTTTCCAGTAGGCTTATCAACCAACTCGTTTAATAATGTAAAGGGACTGTTAGTAAATTGAAAACTCTGAGGCAGTGACCTGTAAATTTTATCAGCTGTTGGGTAGACATGTAAGGGTCCAAAAAATAAAAGATAGAATAAACATAGAGGAAGGAAGGCACCAATGGACAGGTCTCAACTTTTGCATTCCAACCCTCAACCTTCTTATCCCTTTCCCCAAATCACACTAGGGAGAATAAAGGGAAAAAGAACGAACAACTACTATGGGGAGTTGAGAAAAAGGAGCTTACGCATTTGTCAATACAGTGCCGATCCCCAAAATGTTGTCCAGTGCACATGCCTGTAGGATATAGATATGCAAATTACGACCAACTGAGAAAATCCTATAACAAATGAAGCGAAGCTTGTACAATTATCAGCCAATCAACAACGGCTAGTGTTTCCAGAGTTGGAAACTGTACTACTTTTGAATGCAAAAATTTGTTCAATTAAGTAAATACAAGCTTAATTTTCCAACTTAGCTATATCAGATAAACATGACTGTTCAATACCCTATCGTCATACACCATTAAGAACAAGGTATCAACATTTAAATGTGCCCCCCCCCACCCCACCCTGCCCAAAATAAAGAAACAAAAAGGATATCAAGGCAAAAGATGCAAACAATTCGTCTTTGAGGTCCTTCCCATACCTTAGACGACCTAGAACAATAATAGTTCTCCCATCAAATAGTCTTTCAAGCAGACCAGGAATATGTGACACAGAAGTCAGTGTTGGATGGCTGTTGATCTTAACTGTTAATGTGAACTCTGAAACTGCTTACTATGGAGGTTCGTCAGTCAGTCTATCCAAACCTGCAGGATGAAACACAGCCCCCCCATAAAAGGGACGTCATTACAAAGAATGTACTGAATATGTAAGGCAACTGGATAATCAAATGTAAGTAACAACAACAACAACAACAAACCGAGTGCAATCCCACACGTGGGGTCTGGGGAGGATAATGTGTACGCAGACCTTACCCCTACCTTATGAAGAAGGATAATCAAATGTAAGTACAGAACTCAAATGAAGGAATGCTGAAGGAAACAACTGAACGTGTATCTCAAGTAACAGGGTAACGTGCAAGGCATATACTATACTCTTACCAACCTCGATACGTGTCGTAATCTCGTTACTCTAAGCCTATGGGAGTAATACACAAACCAACACACACATCATCTAAATCTACAGTACACAAGTTGCGTGATCACACAACAATCACTCCACTATATCACAATATGATCTCGTACGTATGTGCTAGCTACCAAATTAGTGAATTATCGAGCAGATATCTCCCGGACTAGCAAGTCCATAACTATCAGGTTACCAAACTCGTATCTTCCAGGCTAGCACACATGTAACTACCATGCCACTGGACCTGTTCATAATGCCTATCATAACATACAACAATACAAAGCACATAAAGTTCTCATGTCAACTCCAACTAACATTCGTCGAGTTACAGAAGTCTTTTTGAGGGTACCGATATGGCTAATATACACTTTCTAGGAGAAGGAAAAGACTACCAATAATCATATGAAACTCATCTTATCGGAGCAGTACAAAATAGAACGTTCATGGAATCATCGGACACACGAAAGAACATCTATGAGGTTCTACTTCTCCAAATCACACTTGGAAGGAAACTTGTTTGGAATTTGTGCTAAAGAAAGAAAGAAATAGCCCTAACATACCTTTGAAACCGAGCCTTCAACGATGACAATGGAATCAACTTCTTCCCAACTATTTTACAACAAATTAAATAACACTAGTATCAACAAGAGAAATATACCAACTAGCTAATGAGCGACAAGCTCGTTATACGATAAGCCGGACAGCATCTCCCCTCTTGCCTTTTCATTCCTCAAGTTTAGAATAACAACAACAACCATACATAAAAGCATGCAGCAATCGGAATGCAACCTCAGTGGGAAAATTACTCTGGCAGCTAAATGAGAAAAAGACCTACAATGGGCGAGGTGGGTGCATGGTATATACATAAAGTAAAATGACAGTATTGGGAACCATAGCCCTCAGTGGACAGCAGTTGCTACTGGAGAAAACAAAATGCACTTGAGGCTATAATGGAGCAGTGGTACCAGAATGACACATTCACACTTACACCTAGCGGACAATACTTGGTAACTAAAAGTTACAATGCACGATTGTCTGGGCTTGAGAGATGTCAGGTTGCTGATCTAGTATGGAATAAAGCAATGCAGCCAAAGCACAGGTTCGTAGTTTGGCTGGCTAATCAAAACATATTGCTTACAAAAGAGAGACTTCAAAAATTGCACATATCACTGGCAGGAAAACAATTGAATCGAGGGTTCGGAGGAGAATTGGCCATCAATCCTGTGAACTAATCAAGACCGAAATTGGAAAAAGAGATACGAACGGAGAGGAATAACCAATCGATGAAAGAACATGAAACCATTCTGTTTCAATAGAGGTACGAAAAAGGGTTGGGGGCAATGAAGTAGGTGAAGTGGTTGGATTTTGCGAGCTATTCCAACCACTGCTGAATGTGATTCCAAGAGCCAATGGAGCAGTAGAAACAATGCAACACTGGTTTGTGGATTGTGAGTGTATAAGTGAGTCAAGGAATGAGCTAAGTAAATGGGCGGGCATTCAACTGATGGCAAGGAAAGTGACACAAAGCTTACAATGGTTAAAGAGTAAAAAATGGAAGCAGATGAAGAAAGTAGTGACAGCTAATGGAGGCAGTGATCTGTAACACATGGCAGGCAAGGAACTGGAACATAATCAGAAACACTAATGTGAATCTACTGCACAGATAAAAAAGGAGCTCAGACATAGGTTAAAGGATATACAAACAATTACTTCACAAGTTATGTAATTAGAGTTCCAATACTAGAGGGTAGTGAGTTGTAACTATCATATGGGTTTTTTTGTTCTGCTGTCTAGTTTACTGGAGGCCTCAACTGTAGTGTTTTATGAACTGCAGTTATAGGTGCTTATGAGATGTATTAATTTGGTTTGTTAATGGCAATATTTCACATTTATTATCAAAAAAAAAAAAAAAAACCAGTACCTCAAAAGCAACAAGAACAACTCCAAAACGTCCTATAAACAACCCTCAACTCAACTACAACATTTGACCGTTAACTTGTATCATCTAAGCACATCAAAAGCTCAAACTAAATAATACACATGAAGGAGAAGAAGATCTCACCTTATACAACAAGATCCAGCCCTTAGACACCTTGCTTCAGCCTACAGAAATCTCCAGCTCAATAACAACAAGCGAGAACTAAGCTTACACAAGTACTACAATCATTCCGAAGGAAGAATTACCTCAAAACTTTGGTAGGATTTGCTTGAATGATATGGAAATGCTTTGAGAGCATTTAGGAGCTTAAGGTTCTGTTTTGGATGAAAAATGAGGAGAGGAAAAGGCTGCATCACTTTATAACATCAAAAATAATCTCCACCGCCTATGTGGGTCCCAGTGGGCTGCCTCAGCAGTCCGGCTAAAACACGCATATGATGGAAATTAGACTCGTAGACCTTCAACTTGGTGGGTGGATCAACCTCGTAACTCCAAGTATATTGGGAGAAAAGCTCAGTGATATCAGACCCAAATTTCAGTAAACTTATGAACATAACTTGCGATAACTTTTGCAAACTTTTATTATGCAACTTACTTGACTTCAACACTTAATATACGATTATTATACGACTCAAGTACCTCATAACACGATCTTCTTAGCATGTTAAGCACTCCTAGTATTACACCAAAAGTATGGGTTATAATATTGGCTCGTACCTCCAATGTACGGTCCATAAGTCAATTGCGAAAATCCACTCGCTTCGATTCCATTAACCTCTAACCCTTTTGACACTTGCTAAACATAGTCATAATCACTTATAAGCTTAGGAATAAGCCTATCTCTCCAAGCTTATGACGACTAACTCATGACGTAACTTAACGTATTAAAAGTACGGGATGTAACAGGTTCACTGATAAAAGCAGTACAGTGAAGGATGGGCAACGAGAATACATAACGCATTCGGAAGGTACAAGAGCAGGCCCATTATTCTCAAACTTGAAAAGTGAAAGAACATATTGCTCAGTTTTAGAAGAAAATAAAAACACAAGAAGTTGAAGGCTGAAAATTAAGTTGAATAAAATCACAGTTTAGGCATCCAACATGTTAATGGAGATTCTGGAAGACGTGTCAATTATCCACTGAGTTACAAACAATGAGCCAACTGACCCTTGGGGACTTCTCAGTTATCCAAAAAAGAAAGAAGCAAATACCTGTACAACGATAATGCATCAGTTGAAGGTATCGCGACCAAGTACTAGTTTGTTGATAAATCAAGATCTGTCACTAAATAACACCAAATTGGTGAAACTATTACCAAAAATTTACCAAAAATAAAATTTCATCTTCGCACCAACAATTTCTTACTCTTCGGACCAAACTCTAAATTCTCTCACTAGTTGTACTCCTGTCCCACTTTATGCGCCATCATTACTACCTCCAGGGGATCAACAAATTTATGCTATGATTTTTCATTTACTTTTAAAATATTTTTACTTTAAAATTGTAATGTTTGTATGTGATTTCTAAATATGAAGTGTTCTAAAAATAAATCAATATCCGAATTAATGTTGAAGACCCTTGATGCTAAGTCAACAGCATAAAACGTTGTGGACCAGGATATGATCATCATTCGAGGGCCCTTTCACAAAGATAACACAAGCAAACTGTAATCTGTCCTCTCCACTCATCCTTGTGTTGTCGGCTATGAAAACACCCAATTTAGCGGACGATGTGTAGGCGGCCCTATTTTTTAGCGCCTTTGACTTCTATAGTAGCTTTACGATCACAGACCTACTAATTAGGTATACTTCCAGAACAAACAACTTATGGACGTCCAAAAGGCAAAAGAACAAAGTTCACCTAACAGCACGGACCGATCACATCCTAAGCTTAGAACGCCCCAGATACATTAAGCCATAAGGCATCAGGTGACATTCAAATTCATCGTTTATCTCATAACTGAGAGATTGTTTGAAACAAGTATGTACATGAAAGGAATAATAAGCCAAATGTCACAATTTGAGCATGTCATTCTATATCGAGATCAAGGTACAGCCTATAACATAATATTTCCTTGGGTATGTGTTGACCTTCCTGAGGAACCTGAGGAAATATGTCTCATGGCATTCAATGCTTTTGAATAGACATTCAAGACACCCAAAAAAAAAGCTCAAGTGACAAGAAGTAACTCACCTTAAACTATTGTTTGAAACAGGAGTTTAGAGTACCTGCTGCCCCACGGTAAGTTGCACGATATTAAAGGGGCTTTTGAATCCATTCTTCTATCTCTCTGTTAAAATACTGTTTGAACAGGAACTCACATGAAAGGACTTATCAGCCAAACACTACCATCTGGCACAGCATTCTATGTCAGTTTAATTACAACATTGCAAGCTGAAATTGGATAATATCTGCAACATCAATATTAAACCACACAAGCAATAGCAAAGAATATTATGTTGCAAGCAGGCAAGAAATTTTTAAAGATTATGAGAATATATAAGGGTTGCGGCAAATGCAAACACAAACCCCTTATTTAGTTGACAATTAAGTGGGACGTCTGATAATAATGGAAGATTTTTCAAATGCAAAGTTGGATCATCATTACATTTAGAGTAGACTTGGAAAAAAAAAATACTATCCCTCTTCATTGCAAATACTACAATCCCTCCATTCTGAAAATTCGGACGTGTCCGCACGCAACCATAGAGACCACACATGTCTATCATTTCCAAATCTTGCCAATGATAAGAAGTTCGATCACCACAGCAAACTGGTATTTGCACGTAGTCTTCAGCATTCATGAAAACCTCAAAAGCAAATAGCAAATGATGAAGAGTATTATGTTGATTCGTAGACATCAATCGTGAAACAATTATCAAACGCAAAGGTGGATCATAAATAAATTGGAGTAGACATGGAAGGAAAGCAGATTCCGGAGGTAGTCTGCACACAATGAAACAGTTTACCCTTGCAAACTGATACCTAGATGTACATAAAACGCATCAGCGCTTCAGCCAAAACAAAAGAAAAACCAGCAAGAAATAACAAACAATTGAAGAGTATTATACTGCAGCTAGGGAAGGAGTATCAGCTATCTTTTGAGGATATATATTGGGTCATCAACTATGTAGAAAACAAACCCTGACAAAACATATCCATACGCTGTCAGCTAAACACCAAACCTCTGTAAATATCGAGTTGGAAACCATCAATAACGAAACAATATTTTCAGTGTGAAGATGGATCGTCAAATAAATTGCAGCATATGTAAGAGACTGCGCCTTATATCATCAAAAACATTGGTGAATCCTTTCTCACTGAAGAAGCAGGATAATAAGTTTGTTACAGTCAAAGGCAGCTCCAGAAATCATTTCTATTGATTAAAAAAGAACAGATTGACTAATTGAACAGTTGACACCTTCCCCCCTCCTTAATCCGGGCTTGGGACCGGCTGTTTAGACAGGCGGAGTTACAAGGGTCACCTAAACACAAAATGTAGCAGTAAGTAGACCTAAGCTACAAGAGAAAACACAAGGCCAAACTACTGTTGGTGTCAAGACAAGACATGATCATAGAACAACCAGAACAGTTCAATAAAATGCATTAACTCAAACGCGAACACTCCAAGCCAAGGAACAACCTGGAAATAAGTTTGGATTATATAGAAGGAAAATAAATACTGGGAGGAACAGACTGAGCAGTGACCTCCTAGGTTAAAAGGGACAAATTGGCGGAATTGTTGAAGAATGGATACAAGTCAATGACTGTACTTAGGGATACAAAATGACACAGGATTGACTGTCTAGGATAGAATGTAGGATAAATTCACGATTCAATCACAAGACCAAAAGAATCGGAACCAATAAAATTTAGACTTGGGAATGACCTTCTAGGTAACATTCATAATTGAAAGAAATAAAGGACAAAATCACCAGTCAAATCGAGATGCAAAGCCATTGTGGTGGAAAAGGTTGTAAATACTATCTTGGAAATTCTCACAACTCAAAACCTTCCAGCATACTGAAGCAAATCTTCACAACATGCCTACGAAAACAAAGATAAAAGACCCACCATCCTAGGAGATCCCGTATACCTAAGCAAACTCCCTCTAGTGAATCTCCCTCACAAACTGAAACTTCCAAAAGAGATCACTTCCACATTAAAAACCCTCAATTAGAGCAAAAAAATCAATCAGATTATCCCACATAAAAAACCCGTGTTTAAAGCAACAAAATCAATCCACAGCGCCTTGCTTCAGCATATGCAGGAAACAAAAAAAAATTATTTACTATTTTTTTACTTTAAAAAACAAGCAGGAAACAAAAAAGCAAATTGCAGGTAAAAAAATTCCCCCACTGTGAGATCCCTTTACCAACGAGAACATTGCATAATACCACGTCCAAGGTTCTCAAAAGAAGATGACATGAAATCACATTTACATTCAACTACATCATTGGTATATCAAACCACAAAACCTATAAGCTGGGTGTCCGTTCTCTTTTTATCTATTTGGTGAAATAAGTTTATCTCGTACAAGGCTGATATCTTTCCTTCCAAAGAGAGAAAATATGACAGGCTCCCTCGGACCCAAAAAGCTCAATTGACAGCACATACACTTGCACCTCATTGCATACCTCAGGAGAAAGAGCACATGGTACTATGTCCTCCTCGTTTCCATCCTTTCACCTTAAAAGTAAAGGAGTGTTGTACAAGCAGAACTATGTGAGCAAAATGAACATCCAACCAGTGGTAGCACTAACTGGCCCCCAGCCTAACCACGTAAAGCACTTAAAATTCCCTAAACAAGATATGGAGTTCACCCTGCTAACTCCCTGCCCCTCTAGGACCTGAATCATCATGCAACAATGGCAACAATAGCAGATATGATATGAAAGTTCCTCCGAAGAAATTCCAGCAGATACAGAAAAGCAGAGCCCCCTTGACTGCAATGGAACATTCACGGGGAAGAAAATATTGTTTCCCCATAGGACTTCAAGAGAACTAGCCAACTTCTGCGACCTGGCTAGTTAAAGCAGAACATGACTTCAGCTGACGAGATGTTAATTTGAAGATGCCTAGCAGCTAAATGTAAAAATGTCATGGCACCAGCCCAGAACAGAACCTTACTTGATAGATGTTATGTCCTAGTCTTTTTGAAAGATTGCTTACGGGGTAACTGCATCGAGAGGAGGGATTGACCAGTATGTTCATTCCATGAAAAAGTTACTTGAAAACACATAGTTCGCAATTTCATAGCACCTTGAGACAACTATATATATAATATCCAGAAATCAGATTCTCTAATTCAGAAATATTGAAATACCTGTAAAAAGCAAGCACAGGATATATCCTGAAATCAATGTTTTGCAACCAGCTAAAACTTCCCATACAGATCGTCACTGAAGCAATCTCCACCAGAAAATAACTCCAGCACAACATTTTTAGAAACTGTTACCCAAAAAAAGTAGAAAGCTACGAAGGAATTCCACCCACCTAAGCTCTTTGACATACAGCATCTACCAAGTACATACGACTATGCAGGTGCCAAATTTTCTGCTACTTCATAAATTAGATAAAAGATATCAAGGAACATTGAAGTAACTACGAAGTGAGGCATAAACATCACCCAAGCAAACAACTTGTCCCTCTTTAAGTAGCCTAAGTTCCTTCACTTGCCAAATTAACCAATCCATCTGGGACCATATGAAGCTTAATACGAAAGCCACCTCGCCTAATTGCATATTGAAACATACAGGACGGTTATGCAACTTCTACATATGAATTCATATGAAATTCACCACTAGTGATGTTCGGCCATGAGAAGAGATCCACAACAAGAGTCATACCATCAAATAAAAAAACCAGAACATTCTCATTCGCGTATTATGTAGGACCTGCTTAAGACCTTGCACATGGTTACTCACACCACCAAACACCTCTAACCATCAAGGAAGGGGGAGAAAGAAGGCAGAACTAAATGAAACTGCAAAGATCTTACACATGTTGACTCACCACCGACGACCTCTAGAGATAATTGAAACTGCATCACACCAAAAAATACCCAAAACAGGTTTTGGAAAAAACTCCTCAGCACATGAATGCCAAAAATCATAGCTCAACTCTCTTCACCAAAATCTTGTTTCCTACATCTGATGATGCAGCAACAGAGAAAATCAAAGCCCAGTGGAATAGAGATCATAAATATATAGAGGAGAAGATAAAATGGGAATAACTCCACTATAGTCGTGCCATATGAAAAGCGCACATACCATACATAGAAGTGCAACAGGGGAATGGAGCGATATACTCTATGAATAAAGGCAAAGACGGCAGCATCTTCAAAAAGGGATGTTAGACAATTCCTAGAAGATCTCCTTTATTTTATTCAAGACCTAATCAATCAACAATACAAGAAGTCCAAAAAACCAAAGGACAACGACATCAGAAATAAGAAATGAACTATAACTGGTTTAAAACATCATTGACAACGAAGTGACCAAGCTATGAAGTTGTAACCAACAGCTCCAATATCACAATGCCTTGATACCTTGTACTGTGCACCCTCATAGCTCGATCAATGGAGGAGGCAGCATCACCCTAGCGACACATATGAGATTACGCCTGTAGGAAGAAAATAATCCAAACTAGAATAGTATGCGAGAACACGAATAGCTAACCCAGAGTTGGAGTTTGTAATGAAACCAAAAGCTAACTCAGCCATCTTGCTAGCTCACACCACATCTACAGAAAACAAAGCATATTGTCTCATCGTTGCTCGAGATGGAAAATAACAATAGAGTAGAGTGGAAAGAAACTGAGCCTGGTGGCTCTACATATGAACCAGCCACGTTCTTTTGAGGGATACCCCAGCCTTTGACGGTGATCCAAATTGACAGATTTGTGACCACATCTACAGAAAGCAGAGCAAATAGTGGCATGTTGCTCGAGTTGGAAAATAATATAGAGTAAAGCGAGAAAAAACTGGTCCTGGTGGGTCTACATAGAAACCAGCCACGTGCATTTGAGGGATAACCTGAGCCTTTGACGGTGATCCAAATTGACATATCTGTGAAGTGAAATTTGGCTGATCATACTAGTTGTGAAGTGACAATCGACTAAACATACCTCCACAGCGTAGCAGGACAACAGAGAATAATGGCACAACGATTGCCTATTAGTCAATGCTGATTCAACATTGTTAAGCAAATTATTACAAGCTAATTTGGAAGTATTAAAAAGAAAGCTAACCAACTCTAAACTAAGATTTTGAAAAACTTGCCACCTTGCACGATGATCACATATGTGGTAGATTCACAAAGGTTCCAAAAGATATATATTCTTGTGAACATCTATTACGAAGAACAAAATAATTACCTTGCACTCATTTAGAAAATTAAAATAAGAGAATTTTAGAATCAATTAATCGAGATCTTTTTGTTCAAGTGGAAATGTTCTGTGGAGAAAAAATGTGAAGGAGATCTCTCTTACACAAAAAGTTCTACATAATAGCAAAAGAAGCAAGTCATCAAATGAGCGAATATTTAAAACATAATATGCATGCTTCAAAAGAGATCTACAAACAAAGAGGCTTCATTTACCCGATAGCAAACAGTTTCAACACAGATCTACAAACGAACTGATCAAAAACTATGAGCAGTACTACCTGGTGAAGACATCAATTGATCGGAATCTGTTAGATTTGAAATGTCACTCACTTTTTTTGTCAAGTGTAAAAATTTATTAACAAAGGGGAAACCCCGTTTACCAGCCATATGCTAAAATGTATCTCTTCTAGTTAATATATTCTGACTGTGAACTTCAGACTAGGAAAACAATAAGGTTGCCCTACACGGGTTGCCAATTGCACGAACGCCTAGACATTGCTGGCACGAGCTTGATCAGACATAAGTACACACCATAGAATATAAGTAATTGATTATGGCTGCAGATATATCACTCAATATAAGAACCAAAAAAACAATATACCCGCTGCCATGCATGGAAACCACCACGGACATGTTAAAGTTCCTGCAAAAGGACCTACTAGAATGCACCACTATCAAGAGCCAAAGCTGAGAGAAGGGAAGCACTCTGATTAGGAGGGAAGATTGAATTGAAAATCTTGATACCTAGATCTGCCTGAACTAAAGAAACCTTAAAGCAAATCAACAAACAAGAGCACTCCATAAGAAGAATTCACTGCTCTAAGGCCCAGAAACTGCAAGCACAGAAGGAAGGGAACAGTTGAGTGCAAACTGATACCACCAAGGAAAATTAAGGAGATTCCAGAGATAAGATCAAAAAACCCCTTTCCTCGAAGCCTGACAAAATACAGGGTGCAGAGCAAACACCATATTGGACACCACTTCGGATTTTCAAAATCTAATCCTCACTGTCACCATCTGGTCTACACATCGTCCAGCATACAAAATAAAGCTGGTGTGATGAACAAAAGAAAATGGAAGCAGAGAAGGTAAGTAGCAAGAACACCAAAAGAAGAGCACTTTATGCAGCTATCAAAAGATGCAAATTTGAGTACCCATCCGGCCATCCCTTAAGGACATGAGATCTCATCAGCTTGGATCATCACAGACATAAGCATCTGGAATAAAAATTAAAAATGAAAGCAGAATACATACACTTGTGAAAAGAATCAACTTAACTGGGAGCTTCCATATAATACAAGTTTTGAGAAAGTTGTGAGACGCGAATATCCGATACCTATAGTCCAAGACCTGAAAACCTGCTCTGCATCTTCCCAAAGAAAAACACCACAGCAAGGAGGCACTTATTTCTTCAGAACCACTTACACCACTGGATCAAATCTTAGATACCTATTCCATGTATCCTTTGACAAGTAACACCAAATGAAATCCACTAATGAACGAAACAAATAAGCACTACAAGTGAAGGTAAAAGAGTCGGTGCGAGAAAAAGATACTACTAGCATCAATATTAACATTACGATGAAAGTCAAGATCTCAAACCAAACTGATAGCTCCATCCACACTGATGTCATGGCCTACTTGTGATATATATGGGTAGGATTGATGACGGACTTGTTAATACTAGTAAAGATAATGACTGGTCAAAACCTATGATATCCAAAATCTCTCTCTTCTGCTGATCATTAACGTCAGATAAGGATGACAGCACGGTAGCCCTACAAATACTGCAAGTTGAATCTAGACACTGCTGGCAGAGCTTGATTACACCTTAAAATGGAAATAATCAATTGCGGCTGCAGATAAATCACCAAATAAAAGAACCAAAAGCTGAATGAAAATAATCAAATACCCACCACCATGCAATGGAATCACCACGGACATGTTACATTTTCTGCAAAAGAACTAATAGAAGAGCTCTAAGAGCATAACTAATAGAAGAGCACGATCTCTAAGAGCATATGATGAGAGAAGGAAACCACTTAGATTAGGGAAGAAAACTGAACAGAAAATTTCCATACTCAAAGCGCCCTGAACAAAAGAAACCTTAATGCACACCACAAACAAGGGCGCGTCGTGGAAAGCAGATATCACATCTCTAAAGACACGGCAACTGCAAGCACAGAAAGAAGAGAACAGTTAAGTGCATAGTTGGCTAAACCCAAACCAACTAGGAAATCACTAGAGATGCCAGAGACAAGATTGGAAAAACCCCTTTTCTCGGAGCGTGACAACACCCAGGTCACAGAGCAAGCACCAAATACTGGACATCAACCTTTGAAATTTCCAAATCTAATACTTATTACTGTGACCATGTGATCTACTGTCACCCTGTGGTCTACACATCCATCCAACAAACAAAATCATACCGACGTGATAAAAACATAAGAAAACGGAAATGGAGAAGATAAGTAAAGAGGCGCATAAAGTAGAGGAGCACTTCACAGAGCTATCAAATGATCCAGAATGAGTTTGAGTACTCTTCAGGTGTCCATACCATAAGAGACTCATCCATAAGCATCTCTGAAAACTAAAATGACAGCACAATATACTATACACACTTGTGAAAAGAATTATCTTAATTGAGAGCTTAAGAGCAGTTTCGACAAAACTAAGAGACACCAATATATCCGATACCTATGTTCGAAGACCTGAGAGCTTGCTCTACATCTTTCTGAACACAAACACCAAAGCGTCTTACACCTGTAGAACCACTTGCACCCCTTGGATCAAAACTTAGATACCCATCCATGCACCCTTGAAAATAACACAACCTAGGAATAAAATCCACCGACGATCGGACCAAATAAGCATTGAGACGGTCAAGGTAAAAGAAGTTGATGCGAGAACAAGACAATATTTGTTAGCATATAAGATGGAAGATATCAAATCCAAACCAATAGTTCCATGCTGGACTTATTCCCTGCTTCTCACACATAGGCTTAGATCACTGACTTGTTCATCTGAAGATCCAGTCCGCATGGGGAGCAAAGATAATGAGGTTTGAGGAGAGTGAAGCTCAAATGTGTGGCAAAGCAGTATGCACCAGCATCCCTTTTCAAAATAGGAGGAGCTCGTGCAAATCAGAAAACACAGAATAATCCTTATATCCATCATTACTACTGGGAAAAGAACTGGAACACAACGGCTAACATGCCCAGCATCCATGCGGAACTAATTGCATAGTGGAATCTCACAACAAAACCTCAGAAGTGGCCCAAAACCTGAAAACATGCTTGGTTCCCCCAATAGTGCAATCTAGAATGGGTCACACCAGCAAGCCAGGCTCATTTCTTAGCATTGACAGTTGAAGGACGCAAATCAGAAACCAATAGCACAAAAAAAAAGTCCTCAACGGCTATCTGTAAAGGGGAATCCATGAAATACCATGACTATGAGAAGGATGAAGGTACTAGCTGCAATTCCCTGAGAAGAAATCACCCACCAAAACGTCCCTATCATTCTCCTATGATCATTACCCAGAACCTTATCGAACATTGGCAACATTGACATACAAACAACCGTCTCTAATCAACAAAGAAGAAAAAGAAAACAATACTAACTGCAAACTGAATCTGACACCAAAAAAAAAAAAAATCAAAAAGAACTCGCAAACCCGGATCACCCGCTTGAATTACATGGCCCATGCTCAACTTCTCAACAGAGACGAACAAAGAAAAGCAAATCAGGAACCTACAGAAAATCAAGACAAAATAAACTGAAATATATAAACTACCAATCATAGGAAAGCAACGACACGATGATAGAAGGTATCGGTAGTGAGCGAGTTATATAGTAACAGAGAGCCGACAATTTACAACCAAACAATCGCTCCACGAAAAGAAGTATTCACTGCTCAGAGACTACCCACAGCTGCAAGCACAGGAAAAAGGCAACAGTCAAGTGCAAAGTTGGCGAAACCCATACTAACTACGAAATCACTAGATATTCCAGAGATGAGATTGGAAGTCCCCCCTGTTTTCAAGGCCTGACAATAACCGGATTACAGTGCAAGCACAAAATAGGACCAAGAAAAAATGTGCCCAGGTGCATACAACCGACCTTTGCCATTTCACCATGGGGTCTCTACACATCCATCAGTCCATTGGAACATGGAATCCAATGGAAGATCCGAGCATCTGGACTCAAAACTAATGGCAGCAGAATATACTATACACACTGGCAAAAAGAATTATTGTAGCTGAGAACTTCCATTTAACAGAAATCTTGACAAAGCTTGAAGTCGCAAAATATCCAATACCTATAGTCAAAGGGGGAACCTGCTCTGCATCTTCCCCTCACAAACACCAAAGTAAGACACTTATGCCTGTAGAGAGAACGGATCACATTTTAGATAACCCATCTATGTATCCTTGACAACTAACACCACACCTAGGTACGGAATCCACTGATGACCAGACCAAAAAGTTGAAAGGATATTCGCATCAAAATAGCATATAAGATGAAAGTCGAGATATCATATCCAAGCAGTAGTCTCCACGCTGTGGTTGTTCCCTACTTCTAACACAGCACTAGAATAGATCACGGAATCATTTACCTGAAATTGCAAGTCAGCATGGGAGCGAAATTTGCTCTGAGAATTTAGGGGATTGATAGCTCAGATAGCGTGGCAAATCAGTGTACACCAGCACACCTTTCAAAACAGGAGGAGGAGCTCACGTAAATCAGAAAAACTTACAACTCCAAATACCATCCATGGAAAAAAAGACAGTACTTAATTGCACAGAGGAATCTCACAGCAACCTCAGAATCGTCCAAAACTAGAAAGCATGTTGATTCCCCAAAAATTGCATCTAGAATGGATCTCACCAACACACAGTTGAAGAATTGCAAAATCCGAAAAACCAGAAGCAATAGCTTGATAGGAATAGCAGGTTTAATAGAGATTGACATCAAATAAAATGAAGACAAACTTCTTATCTGCTGTCAATGTTAACATAAATGTTGAATATTGGAAACAAAAGAAATTTCAATCGAAACAAATTAAAAAAAAATATTTTTTTAAAGGCAGGAACAAAGATCGAGAAACCAAGAGGTTACAATCCTCAAAGGCAGGATATTTATAAAAAGTAGTTAGTGGGTAAGGTACCGTGGCTATGTTTAGGATGAAGGTACTAACTGCAATTTCATGTGAAGAAATCACCTACCGGAAGTCACTATAATCATCATCAAGTCCACCGGAAGCCCCTAATCATTCTCCTACAATCATTACTCAGACCTGATCAAACAATGGAAACATCTGACCTACAAGCAATCAACAAAGAAGAAAAAATAGAACTAACTGCAAACCGAACCTCACACCAGAAAAAGGAACTCCAAAGAACCCCGAGCCTACATTCCATATCACATATTCCAAATAAATTACCAATTGAAGGAAAGAAAGCAACGATACGAAGCCAGAAGGTACTGGAAGCGAGTGAGACTTATATAACAGAAGAAGATAAGAGGAGAAATCAAAACCAAAACCGATCGCTACCGGACAAACTGCGACTTCACAAAAGAAGGCATCACCTCATCTTCACAAAATACTACAAACGAGAATCATGGATAAATACCAAAAACCGACATATCAACAAACGATCTCTGCAGCCTCAAAGGAGAGAAACACCAATTCTAATTACAAAACTGAATCTCAAATCAAAAAACCTCAAACGGATAATCTCTGGGCCGAACTCAAATTCTCAACAGCGACGATCAACGGATTCAAAACCACAAACCTAGCAGAGAAATCACAAGGAAAACAAACTGGGATGGAGGAATTGTTTAACTGGAGAGTCTATTTATAGAGTAATGAGGTTGGATGGACGGCTGAGATTAAGCGATGAAGATAACGCGTTGCGTTCGGGCTACGAGCGGATGTATTTGGACCAAAGAATATTTCAAAGGCGGTGGCGTTAGGTCGGCGTCTTTGAGTGGTATTAAATTTTGCAATATTTCCCATTAACTATTACGTGGTCCACAAATAATACTTGTAATAACTTTCTATAACAAAATTTAGTAACCGCAATAATTTCTGTTTTCTAAAACACAACACAATTAACTCAATTACGCTTTTGATTTGTCATAGAAGTTCTCCAACAAAAAATCTAACAATATTTATATTTATATTACATTAATCTTAATAGAATTACTAAAAAATTCACATGACTTCATATTATAACAAAAAGGGCCCACATTTTTAAATTTTACCCGATCTAGTATGTATTGTACATATTTTGAAAAAACTACTACAATCTGTTTCAAAATTCATTTTCTTACAACCACAACTTCTAAAAATTATGAAATTAATTTTAGTCGGTCAAGTTCCCCATATCTTTTTTTTTGTTGTTGTCAAGAAAGATAAAAACTTATATTAGATAGTAGAACTATTACGGGGAGCCATTGTAGTAGAGCTACTATTGGCTAAAGTTACATAGTTACTACATAAAACTAAAGGGGGATCTTTATGGAGATTTTGACTAGGGGTGTCCTTGGGGGACTAATAGTTGTCAGTGCTTGTGGTGGATTTACAAGTGAGGAGGGTGTAGGGTAATCAAAAAACAAGCCTTGACAAAACGTTTAGTAGTTACGCCTTTTAGGTCTGCTTGATATGCATCCAGTGCAACAGACGATGGTGACGACAAAAGCAGCATTGTAGTATCCATTAGGGTGGTTCCATATTTTGCTAGTTGGACGGCGACCATGTTTTGCTCCCTGTAAATATGCGTAATAGGAGGCTCATTCATCATGCTGAGGAAGTACCTGAAATCAGTAAGAAGGGAGATAAATGAGTGCGCTTGTTATAAGTTAAAGTAATGGCTACAGTGGCATCCATTTTAATTTCCAGAAGCTGAAAGTTGTATTGAATAGCCAATTGCGATCCGCGCAATAGTGCTAATAATTCTATGTCATTGCTTGAGCCTGAATAAGAGTGCCCAGTAAATCCTAGTAGCCATGATCCATCAGAGTTTCGAAAAATGCCACCATAACCATTAGAGTTGTTGGTTGAAGTGCCGTCTGTGTGTAGCTGAAAGATCCCAGATGCAGGTGGGTGCCACTTCACATACATCGGGAATTTGGGTGTTCGTCTAGGCATAGAAGAAGTTAGGTGAAAAAATTCTAATGCTCGAGTGATGATTGTTTGAGAATTTGGGAGATGGCGTAGATTGTGAAAAGAGTTGAAATTACGGGTTAACCATAAATGCCACAAACAGAATGGTACAAAAGTAGAAGGGGGTAACGAATGTGGTAATGGCGTAGCACGGAGGTGAGTTATATCGTAGAGCCATTATTTCCAGGATGTGTTGATGCTACGATAAGAAAAACTTACTGCAAAAACTAAGAATATTTTTCTTCTGCAGCCTCATGGCTTTTGGGACTCTTCACGATTTAATTTTTTAATTTCTCTTCTTTAATCTTTGAGTTAAATTTTAGATCTGGGTCTTTAAAGTTTGTTAGTTATTTGGATTGAGTGTTGTTCCAATTGATTGAAACATCAAGAGGAGTTCAAAACTTAAATGTAAAGTGATCTGCAGTAGATTTGAGCTAGACTTGAGTTAATATTTTCATGAAATCACTTACAGCTTGTTTGGATGGTTGTTACATGTTGTATTGTATCGTATTGTTCCTTTAAATACAATATTTGTTTTGATTGTTACTTAAATTTAATTGTATTGTATCATTTAAACCCGTTGTTACATAACGACGAAAAGTACCACTTTATGGAACGGCCGATTTGGTGTGGTCGCGTCGTTTTGTTATATTTTTTTTCTCTTATCTTACCCCTTTTTATTATTAAATAACGAAAAAGGCCAAAACTGTCCCTAGACTATTGGAGCTGGTACAATAATATCCTCTGTCCACCTATTTTGTAAAATTTACCCTCACCGTTTTCTTTTTGGCTCAACACTACCCTTATGACTAACAACCATGTTTAGTAACAATAAAAAAATAATTAATTTCCACATGTCATCATCTCATTGATCTAACTTAAAACCCACCCCAAATTAAAATAATCCACCCGTATCCAAACCCGTAAACAAAAATACTTTTTTCCTTAGTCTATCCTTTTTCATATCCATCTTTATCCTTCTTCCTCTCCATCTTCCATTTCTTTCTCCTCTTTCTTTTCAAAAATACTACAACATCCAAAACTCTCACGCACCATTTTTTTTTAAGCAAACAAAATTTTCTCTTATAGTTCATCACCTTCTTCTTCCTATTTCTTCCTCCTTTAAATATATAATCGACACTCATATATTTTTCTATCACATAAATACCATTCATCATCAATTACTACACTTCACTATTTCTTACAGTAAACTCAACGAAGTGTTTATTATAGTCACCTTCTCCAATAAGTCGTATTCTCTCATATTCTTAGATTGTCAAATGTTCCTCTTAATTTTTCCGTCTCTTTCTTGAAATTGGCGATGTTGATATAGCCTGATGATCATCCTCGTATTACATCTTAATTTATGGACATGACCAGATGTTCAGAAAATATACATTGAAAAAAATTGCAAATGCTCAATGACCATCACCCTCGACTCTACGTTAGTGTTCATATGTCCGGGTGAAAGTTGTATGACGTAAAATGTTGGTGATTAAAAAATTTGATTATATGAAAATAAAACTTTAATGGTGGTTATGGTGATTATTTAAATGAAGTGCAAGGTCACAAAAAAAAAAAAAAGAGAAGAAGAAGAATATGAACGCATAGACGTTGGGGGTGGAGGTGAAGGGGGAGATTGATATGGTTATGCATTTTTTTTAGAAGAAGATAACGTTTGGAGAAGGAGAAGAGAAGAGAAAAGTTAGTTTTTTGGATATGAGTTTTGGATGCGGGTGAGTGTATTTTAGTTTGGGTGGATTTTAAGTTAGGCCAATGAGACGATGACACGTGATAATTAATTAAAGTTTTTTTTAACCAAACAGTGGTATTAAGGGTAGTCTTGAGCCAAAAAGAAAATGGTGAGGGTAAATTTTGCAAAATAGGTGAACGGAGGGTATTGTTGTACCAACACCAATAGTTCAGGGGTAGTTTTTGCCCTTTTTCGATTAAATATTCATATTTTATCGTTTACCCTACCTTTTTATATAATAATATTACCTCGTCTCTTCCTTTTTCTTTATAATATTGCAAGTTTATTCTTCATATTGTTGGTACATGACATCATGAAACGACGACAAACAATACACTCTAACCAAACATTGTATACATCAAAAGGATACAGTACAATACAATATAACGTTATACGATATATTATGAAACAATACATAACAACCATCCAAACAAGCTATTAGTTTACATGTAATATTCATAAAATAGCTTAATCGATCTTTAATTATTATTAAATCACTATGTTTATCCTTAATAATTCATAGAATGGTTCAATTGTCATTAAACCACTTAGTTTATGTGTAATAATTTATAAAATGGCTCCATCGATGTTCAATTGTTATTGAATCACAATGTTTATCCTTAATAATTCATAGAATGACTAATTGTTCATCGATTACCATTAAATCATTTAGTTTACGTGTAATAATTCATAAAATGAATCAACTAATCATCAATTATCATTAATCACTTAATTTATGTAGAAACTATCTATCTATATCTATATCTATATCTATCTATCTATATCTATATTATTATAAAAGTACGAATATTTCAAGCTAAATATTAAGCGACAAAAATATCCCTAAAATGTTAATCAACCTTTAAGCCCTTTAAAGCTAAATTATTTCTTTAATGAATCAAATTAATATTGGATATAATTGTAATATTGAGTATAATTCTTTTTGGACTCAACATCATCATCGCCAACATGGATGCTATGGATGAAAGATTTCTATTTCTTCTTGACATCAACACTCACGGCCAATTTGCAAGGTACATGATAGAATCCTAATTCTTTTTATCTAAAGACTTCAAATCAAAGTTTAAGATAAAACTTAAGGAGACCTATCATATTTATAAGTTGTACTCGCTAAAGATCTAATGATGTCCATTCTAAACACAAATTATGTAAGATTATGCAAAGTCACGGACAGACAACTCTTTTTCCGGCTATTGAAGATCAATTGGTTCAAGAATTCGTCAAAGCTTATGTCACTAACAGACTCCAATTTGTTTTGGGTTTCTATACTCCAAAGTTGTCAACAATTTCAATTTGTAACGTTTTGCATGTCTCTGCTATATATACCTGGCTAAAGCTTCAAAGCTAGCACACTTATATATACTCATATCTTAAGTGCAAAAGTCTGCTCTGTAATAGCACCAGTATCAACAGGGGCGGAGCTAGCCCATCGAGTATGGGTTCGACCGAACCCAGTCAATTTGGTCCAATCCATATATTTATCTTAAAAAATAATTAAATTTGTACAAATTATTAATTTAGAACCCAGTAAGTTAAAAGGATTATAACCCCGAACCCATAAGCTACAAGCTCCTCCTGAATATCAATATTATTGTTAAACTTAAATCAGTCTGTCATGTCGTTTTCTTTCCTTTTCTTGTTCAATTTTATTTTTTCCTTTGATTTTGAATAAAATCGTTTTCTTATACTCATCGTTTGTCACGACCCAGCCCCAGTTGTGATGGCACCCAACACACTGCTAGGCAAGCCCGACCATTTCTACAACCTTTGCCGATTAATCACAGTGAATAAGTAAATTTTCACAACTAAAATACCAAGTTAAATGTGAAATCCTGAATTAGATGCTAACATTCGAAAACCCAAAATATAAAATACTAACCAGCCCACAGAATCTGGTGTTACAA